ACCATTCGCCACGGTCAGGTGCTTGACCTGAGAGTGCCAAAAAGTGGCTCCAAGGCCCTCCCTTGGGGTCCTCTACAATAATTATAAGCCAGAATTTGATTCTAGGGGAGTCGATTTTCATCTTCCCTTAGTACCTTAAGTTCAGTGAACCGCCATAACGAAATCACGGTTGTCAGAAACGTCAATCGTCATCCCTACCCACATGCCTATTACTAGGCATAAAACTTGTTCCGATCGCAAAATTTCGATTTCCCTTAATATCAGATGAGTTATTATTTCCACATTCATTAACAGTTATGACACTTAACGTTACCAATAATCAGTAAAACGACTCTCCAGCTAGTCAAGGAGTCGTTCGGCGTCGCTCTGTTACAGTGAATTTCTATTTACGTTACATAACGACGCTACTTGTATGTTACGATTCCCTGGGTCTATGCAATGAATAAGTCTCCCTATATGGAGTGGCAAGAATTACGATAACGCCGGTTGAGTAAGTCTTCCTCCCTTTTATGTCTTTTTAGTTCTCAAGCCTGTCTGTACTTTGAAAAGGTACTTGATCCGCGAGTTGGCAGTTATGAATGGGAAAAAATAAAGAGGTCAATATTAATTTTTTTTGCCAAAGAATTAAAATAAGAGTGACATCTTTGAAAAGTCCCTTCTGATTTATACTCGAATCGTGTCGTCATTTTCGAATAAGTCTCTGACGATTGCACGACTAGATTTAGCGCATTGATACCGATGGTACACGAATGGATGAAACGCGATTTAGGCTCCATCACGGTGGGAGAGTGGTGCCGGGCCATGCAGCGGGGCACCCGACTCTCCCTTCCCTGGAGAATGCTCAGGGAGAAGTTCATCCCTCTCGACCCGATCACGGGCTTGGTGGAATACAACTCCCTCTTCCACGAATTCCCTACCGACTTCCAACAACTCTCCGGCGTGAGTACAAATCGTCCGTTTGCAGTCTCTTCCAAGCATTGCACTCTTGTGTCGGTTGGCTATGGTTGCCAGAAGGAGACCAATATCAATTCCCAGGGGATAGACAACAGATTAAAGTGGCCCAAGTAATTAATAACTTTTGCAGTACTTAGAGCAGTACTTAACTACATTTCGCGGCTTGCGATTGAAAAAGCACGTAAGCACTTCGGTAGAAGTAATTGTTGCACACTGACATCCTCTTCCATACTCCCATCTTGCATTCCAAACGATTCCAGTTATGGACATCGTTAATGGAATGAATATTAAGACCGGATGTGTGTGAAGTGCAATTGATCCGCAGGACACGAAGGGAGTGGAGGACGCAGTGTTTCAGAATCGAGCCAGCCTCGAGACCATCTTCAACATCATGGACACCGACAACTCCGGTGAGTTTTACGCTTCTGGCTCATTTTTGCACGGGGAAAGATCGACTCATTCGCGAATCGCGTTCCTCGACGTAGGAACGATTTCCATGGAGGAATTCTCGACGACGTGCGAGCTGATGAGTCAATACCTGCCTTCGTCCATTTCCCCGTCTTCGTTACTGGACATAGCGGAATCCATCGACATCAACAAAGACGGAAAAATCACGCTGAATGAATTCCTGGAAGCCTTTCGTCTCTCCCAACATGCCAATCGTCGGTGCCCTCCCGTTCCTCGTCACCCTCATTGAATCTTCACCCATCTCTCCTTTCATGCTTTTATTAAAGATCTCTCATAAATGTCGACTGAGTTTGCCATTGCACTGCGGTGATTGAAAGAGCTCTGATCGACCTCAGAACAAGAGGCATTCAACGCACATCTCACAAATAACACCGCATAGGGTGGGTGAATTTGGATTTCAACTCGGTTTGCCACACGGCCAGATGACAACCGTTCATTTGGTAACAATTCAATTTAGAAAAATACCTAGATGAATCTCAAAGAACGTGTTTTCATCTCCACATCGAATGAATCATTTCATTTTTTATTTCCCAGTCCTCGTTGCGCACTGTTGTAATATGAAATATTATAGTCTGCTTTTTTCAAATACAAAAATAATAGATACACCGGAGAAGAGATGCTTTCAATTTGATCAAAATGCTAATTGCCTTAAAGGTGATGCAAATAAAACTTCAACAATAACCCAAGGAAAAACACAAAATCGCAAGTCAACAAAGCGTCCAATGTCATCAATTGAGATCTCATTGAAATCTGACAGTCATGGAGTTAACTTCCTTGACCTGGAGACCAAGTTTTTTCCACATCTGGGCGAAAAGGAATTACTCTTTGACATCATGAATCACAATATCCCAACACGTCATTTAGTGATTCCATCGAGTATCAATGGTTACTCGACGTCCTTATGCAGACTGGATATTGGAGGAATTAAGATTTAAGAAGGGCTGAGGTGTTGATAGAGCCACCATGAGCACAAAGTAGAAGTCTTTTTGACAGAGCATTCACATCGGTGTGACTCAGTCAATCAAGTTTAGCTATTGACAATAGCTATTAATAAGATTTTACTAATGGAATTTTATATTTTAGCTTTAGTTTCTTGAAAAATGGGACTGTACCGATGGCGGTCATTGGCCGATTATGATAAATCTGCCCATACCGATCGTGGCAAAAAGAGGAGGGGGGGGGAAAGCCGACAAATAAAGTATTCGTTGCTGTTTCAACACGTCAGCTTATGAGACTTGCGACATTTCAGACTTTCTGTATCATAAGAGTGACAGAAAGCCTAATACCATCAATTTATGCAGTCGTTTTGCCAGGGAATGAATAAATTGCGCCCTTGAAAATCATGCATTTTTTGTCAAAGGGAAGCAAGAAACGTTTACCTCGGAGGGAAAGAGGAAATCCTAAGATCTGAGCCTACGATAAGACGCTGTCATCTGCATGGGGGGATTGCTGTTGGCTGATGCAATGTAAAGATTTCAGTCGCCCGGAAGAGCCCTGCATATGCTTGGAACAGAGAAGTCCAGAGGCATGCCCGATTCCATCACGAGACCCGGGTCTCAACCAAAGAGAGATTTTAATCGTGGCATGTACTACATCGATTTCTTGCAGGGAAAATGCCGGAAGCACCTGTTCCTTCTTGCGGGGAGGAGGAGTAGGGGGATGAGAGGAGGGGGGTTGTATATGCCATCCGTATCGGCAGTGTGAAATCATGCCGATGGTGCGGATAAGGTCATATCGGCGGTCGAATGATGGCTGCCGATGCATCGGAAGAGCCCTATCGGAAAGTCAATTTTGCAAATGCTTAATAACCATTCGAAATTGTGGCTTCATTTACTTAGGGATAGATGTCATGTAGCTGATACCCTTTAAATATAATGATAAAAAAACCTCCTCGAGTCCTGGATCATCTGCATGACCTTGACAATTCTATGTACCACATATGCCAAAAATACTTAGTTTCGACATCTCTATTTCTTTTCAGGTCGGCTGACTAATTTTCACTCTCCTCAGGGCGAAGGTTTCCATATCCTTTTCATAGAAGTTTGTTTGTTGTTGCTTTCATTAATGATGAAATCTCATCTTTTTATTAAGAGTTCTACCACTAGGATTCGCCTTAGAAAAAGTATAATGCCTTTTTGTTGCATGTTCAGCCATCACTGCTGCTTCTCATATATAAGTGGACCGTGGGTTAATGCACATGGTGACAATCAGGTGAGATACAAGTAACCTTGGATGTGCCCTTTGTGCCCTGTATGTGCATTGGGAAGGACATTCATACATGGTGAACGTTCGGGATACATAGAATCATTCAACAAGGAGCCTCCTGTGGAAAAAAAAAAAAAAAAAAAAAACAGAGGTAGTGCGAAGTTGTGTCATCCTCGGAGTGATGTCAGCATGATGCTTATTGGCTGAGTCAGAAACCGCGCGTGTCTCATGGTAGGAGATCATGTTGGCATCAACACTGAATCATTAGGCAGTCAGGCACATGTTCTGGTGGATGAATGCATCAACAAAGAAAAGCATCACAAAAAAGGGTGCAAAGGCAGTACATTAATCAAGGGGGATTTGAGTTCCTGCATCAAGAGAGGCAGCTCTCTCAAGGCCAAGGAGTGCTTCACCGATTTCGTCAAAATCTTCCGATTCTGCCGGCTGCCCTTGTTGAAAGGACTCTCGGAGACGATGGTGATTGTGGGACACAGACCACATGGCAGGCAGGTATCTGGGATGCATTGTATCAAGAAAGTGCTGCCTCCAACGCCTTTCCAGCTCCATCAATCCCGCATTTGCAGCATAATGCCGAACAACCATTTCTCCATGAGACACATAACTGGGGTTTCTCGTCCTGCACAATAAACCATTGCATTCACACTGCATATTGAGAACACTCAATTTTTTATTTCCACAAAACGCATAGTGCATAGGAAAACATGAATTAAAGTAAGAAGTGTAACTACAGGGTATCCATAAAGTGACTACCTATGGACAACTTTTTTCGTACTGAATCTGGGGGAACCAACTTTTTTTTAATTTTGTAGGATGTTTATCACTAAACCTCGGAATGTTGTCACATCTTTTGTTGCTATACTCTAATGTGACTGAGAATTCATTTACCAAACTCTTTGTTTCAATTAAAAGTTCGGACATATGGAATGTAGCATTCTGACTTGTCAGCCAGGGCAAATGGCCTCCACGATGTCTGGATTTTGACCCATAGTGATTTCTTTTCTCCTGGGTTACTTAAAGTCATTCTTTACAAGGACAAGTCTACAGATCTGAACAATTTGAAAGAGAATATCTCTCGTGCTATGTGCCAGAAAAGTGATGGAATTATCATGGGTGTTGCCGTCAATGCAATTCCCAGGTCTTAGAAATTTATGGAAATTGGCGGTCGACATCTTGAGCCAATTTATCGAATAAATTCCTAATTTTTATCTTTTTAATTCTCAAAACGCTATATTGCTCAAACAATATCATGATAACTGCAAGAAGCTGTTGTAATAAAGTCGAACGGGAAAATTTTCCTAGAATCCTTGTCTGAATTTATTTTCCATTAAAACGAATCAAAGAAAATAACATAACATTAGGTGTGGGAAATTAATTCTCGGCCGTGCCAAAGTGGAAGAAGAAAAGATCTGACACTATTCCGTGGTCGGTACGTTGTCAGTCTAAAAAACTTTTTAAAATAGCTACTTCAGGGGCTATAATAAAAAAGTCGCTCGTTGGTAGTCCCTTCATGGACACCCTGTATTTCAATGTAATGGGTACTTAGCAGATGAATGTGTACTTCCACTGCCACAATTCTCCCTCTGATTCTCAAGTTGATGGTATATGATAATAAAAAATTATTTTAGGCAATCTATTATCTTTGTAGATTCAAGGCGAAATTCTGATGATTACAGGCATGGAAGAGCAATATATGTCAAAGCATTACCAACATTACGAATGTTTACTTAGCTATTGAAGTCTCACTACTACAAGTATGAGACAAGTAGCCACTAAATCCATGGTAGCCACATCCATGGTGATTCCCCAAAGGTTATTCAAGGATTTCCGTCTATGTTTAGGTCTTCATAGGTGACAGCTCTGTCAGAGAACATTAGAAAATGAACACTTGCCTATTAGCAACAATCTTAAAATCCTAATGATTTTAAGATTGTTTCTTAGAAATGCAGAGGATCACTCAAGTTTCATGGTTCAAAGTTCAGATTTGGGTATACCCATATCAAAATCTTGATTTCTATCACTACTGAATGGGATCAAAATTGTATACTGATTTACACTGGTGATACATAGTTCCAAGTAAGGTCATCTTTTATTTTTTAATAACATAGCTAAAAGGAGACCTAGTAGCAACATTCAATGGAGGTTGATTGAGATGAGGATTTAGCAGGAAAAAACCTTTTCTACCAAAAAAGCAATTAAAATGTGGGGCTACAGTTGCAAACATACACATCTATGGCCTTCATATTCCACTACTCAAAAACAGAAAAATGCAAAAAATGCAAAGACACAGAAGCAAGCATGAGCAAGTTCATGTGCATTGCTTTTTGAAAGCAAATGGATAAAGGTCTGTGAAGAGAAACCACCTCTGTCTTTCCACTCTTCTCTACCATCTTTTTCACATTCTCACAATATTTTTTGAATAGCTGAGCATAATGCTTGGGAAATTATAGATAATTTTTCAGGAGGTTAGTGAAATGGTTTCAAAACTAACTGGAATGCAACAGAAGCCTTGCTTTTTTCACTTCCTAAAATCTTAACTCTAAACTCTAAATAAATTCTGGCATTGATCCTCACAGGGAAAGAGCTGAAAAGCAAAAAGACTCAGAGAGAGTGAATGGAGGAATGCACAACAAGAGGCATTATTGGTGAGAGGAAAGCCTTACATGATGGGGTAAGTGGAGGCACATTCCACCATCTCATCATCAATCTCCTTTACTCCAAAATGCTCACTCAGGATCTTCTCAAGTTCCTTCCGCCTCACTCCTGGCAGGTTCTTTGCTTGTTTTAAGGCTTTTCCAGCTGATTTCACTGCCCTCAGTTCCCGCAGCTTGCTCTCTTCGCTTTTCTGCATTTGCATAGTATTAGTGATGATGAGGTTTGCACCCTTTGAAGAGTCAGATTCTCTTGTCATTTTCTTCATTTTTTCTTGTCCAGCCACTTGCTGAACTGATGCATCATGTCTTAGTCAAGTCAGCAAAATACTTCATCTCACAGTTGCCACATATTGAGAAGGCATCCATAAGACAAAAAATATTAGTTTGAGGAGATATAGTAGATCAGGAGGATCTGAATGGGCAAGTTGAATTCCCTGAGATGGAGATTTGTATTTAAACAGTTCCTCTTTTATAAGTCTGCAAACCTTTACCAAGGTTATTGACTTCAACAGCACCCTATCTATAGGCAAAATACAGGACTACTGAATTGACTCTCATAACAATAGTTTCAGTACACATACCATGCATGTATGTTACTACTCATATATATTGATGGTTCACCATGCACAAATTTACCCAAGATGCTTACTCACTTCAGACATGATGACAGATGCTACATATTTTGGCAGTGCCTGGTACTCCCAAAGCCAATATTCATGTGACCCAATCAAGAAGATACAGACATATGAGAGGTGATCCAAAAGTTTCTGCCCTAAGATATAAAGGGAATGTGATAGACTGTTGGAAAAAATGTAATTTTTCAGCATTACCTCCCTAGACATCAATACCTGTCCAACTGATGGGACAAGACTCAACTTTATTGAGAAAAATTCACTTTCCATGGTCATCTAAAAATGCTTGAACAGCTTCCCTGAATAGACAGCATTTTCAGTTTTAGCATGACCACTTCACAGGTTCACAAGTTTTGCTTTACATTTATATTATTGAATAAGCTGTCTTATTGGGATGAATGGATTGAGATTAATACTTTAATTATACTAATTGTAAAGAAACTGCTCAGCATTCAACATTTTCCATTTTGAAATATATAAATTCTTGCTTTGACATATCTTACATACAAATTATTATTTAAAATATAAATGCACTAAAACCAATTGCTGACCCTTGAAATTACCAAAAATTATGAAGGAATATGAGAATCAAATTTCAGCCTTCTCTGATCATTCCTACTACCTCAGGGCAGAAACTTTTGGATCATCCCTTGTAGCTTCCAGACATGCTTCTGATAAATGCCTCTTCAGTAATATAGATGTAATTAATTTTGAACCATCATAAAAGAGGGATAGCAATTGACAGCAATTGAATTATTGACAGAATCATATTCATTTCTTGATGAGTCCCTCAATCATAATCGACAAAGCCCAAAACCATGAAGCAATCTGGTCTGTCATAGTTATGCAGCTATTATCACAAGTCATTGGTCTTAAAACATTTGAAATTGGAAAGAACATTTGCACTTAACTCTGAGATAATGAAAGTACTGGTAAAAGCAAACCAGTTCAGATGGATCTCCCAGCTGAAATGCAGAATTTTCTACAAACATTACATTCACAAGGAATATTTCATACTTTCAGGAAAACTGGGTCCTCATCTCCATTATTCAGGTCAACATTACTTCCAAAAAGGTAGAAAGCCTGAAAATAAAAGAGAGTTCTATGTGAACTCTACATATCTATTACATACATATTTAGGATTCATTTAAGACTCTCTTATTTTCAAGGGAATATTCTTGATACTCAATTACCTCTCAAAGTTCTTCCATCTCATGGCATGGAGTTTTTTTCATTTGAGAGACACTAAAACATTATTTAGAGTCTCTGGTACAGCCCACTAACAAAACCAATCCTCCTTAATAACAAATGAGGTAAATGAGTGGAAGATGAAGGAAGGAGAGTGATACAAGTCAGCCTACCTCAAGATCGGCACTGCCATTCCGAGGAGCATTGCATTCTTCTGCCAAGATATCCCTGAGATGAGAATCAAAGGCACTGGCCCTCAGATGGCAAGAGAGGCAGAAGAGAAGGATATCATGACTCAAATGGCTCTTCATCAAGTCTGGGAAGACAAAGAAAGGGAAGGCTGAGTACTTCAGCAAATCAATTTTTCAGATTTCACAAGTTTCTTAAATTGAGCATTGGTATGTCCCTTTGCTTTAAGAGGAAACAAGAAATGTGCATCTAAATATGTAACTGAATATGGAGCCCCATGTGGGCTACAACCTACTCAAGAATTCCAGCAGGATATCTCATTAGTTCTATAAATAATATTGGACATTGTTCCAGCAGGTATCATAATGATAATTTTAATTGTTCCAGAGATTGCCCCTGATGGTTCCAGCTGGTCTTATGATGGTTTTCAAATGGTTTTAATCCTCTGGTCTTACATGTCACATGGATTAGTGTTCGATAGATGTCCTTAGAGGTGAAACATTTGCAGCATCAGCACACTTACATGGGTGTGTGAACTCATCACAAAATTGCTCTATCCCTCAGTTTATGAAAATGTATAGGGCCCATATACTCCCACTGAATTAATCAGCATCCACACGAAGATCTGCTCTGAAAGCCATTGTAACAAGAGGCAAGTATTACTCCATCAATGTCATTGTCATCCCTAAACACATTACATCATCTCATGCAACAAAGCCTGAGGTGACTTCAGAATAGATGTGATCTGGACCTCCATTCAGATGATTTCTGTCACACAAGTGTGCAAGGAAAAACGTGAAAACACAAGCACCTTACTCCATCTGTATCACCCTCTCAATTGAGGCCAAGCATTGTTTTTAAGGCAGTATTGGGTATAATATGCACCAGGGATAAGCAATTGGGTACTATTGAATGAAAAAGCTTCAGCAACCAAGGCAGAGATGCCAAAACCCTCATAGCATTATGGGAATAACAACAATTTGCATAGCAAAACTACATTCCCCATACTTAATTTCCAAAGATAATCAATTGTATCCAATCATCAAAAGAATTTTGTGATCTGTTACTGAGGCTTAGACTCACACTTGACCTTATTCATACTCCCTCGCCTAGCTTCTCACATTTTATTTCATCAGCACCATCACCATCTTGCTTTTTGAAGACTTTACCTCATCAGTCCTAAGATTTAATTCTCAAACTTTCCCACCTCAGCCTCTTAGGCTACTCTTCTTTTCTCAACTAGCATTTCTAGGATTCCCTTCTCAGACCATATCTCTTCCTCATTCTCAGGCTCTCCTTCCCAGAAATAAGGAAGTAAAAAGACACACAGGATGACAATAGCATTCTATCATTAAAAAGGACTCACCTGGGAAATGTGTGCGATACTCATGAGGGACAACATATTTTGTGAGAAGTTCCTTGGTGGAACCGCACACAACACATTGATTCCTCTTTTCATGTACGTAGTATTCCCCATCACCCTCTGGTCCACCACTGGGCTCAAAATTCAGCCTTACGATTAATGGATCTTCTGCTTCCTTTGTTCCCAGATTCTGCAACAAATACCTGCAACAACATTGAGCCTAGCAATATATTTCCATTAATTCTTAGCCACAGCTGTATAGTTTCACCATGATATTGGCATCATGCCTTTTCAAGAAAAAGAAACTGAAAAGAGAATCTTCCAACATCCTTCCAACACAGGTGGTCACAGATCATTCCCTTCTGCATTTTAATTAAATTTTAGTTTTTAATCAAATTTAAATTTGGGATGAGTGACTTCTTTCCTCCTCTGCTGCCTTTCCTTCTGAGTCAATAATATATTATTTAGAATAGGGCATTTGTGGGTTTGGCATTAGAGAGGGGCCCTCTGGAAAGAATCCAGCAGACCAGAAGCCACAAGGAATAGAAAACAGAACATATTTTGCAAATATATTTAGATGGGAAAAAATAAAATGGCAAAGAGTTTTGTGCATCAGGAAAAGATAACACCCCTTTGGCTGCCCAGTTTAAAATCCCAGCTGGACCAAAGCTGTAAATTCGGACCATTTCCAGCTGGCAAAGAGCTGGAAAACAGTAGGTACCAGTTGCTTCTTAGCTGGAATTTTCCAAATGGAATGCTGATGGTTTTAATAGCTGTTTCCAGCTGGAAATTTTCCAGTTGGAATTTTATAAAAAGAACCCTACAGCTGGAATGTAGCTAAATTTACAGTTTGAAATCAGCTGTTCCTGTTGATGGACCTCTGACAAAAATAGTCAAAGAAAAGACTCTCATTCAGTTAGTTATATTGCAATTAGGAAGAACTCTGGAGTTGACTATTTTCCAGCTGTTACCCAGTTGGAATGGGTTCGAATTTACAGCTGGAGTCCAGCTGGAAATTATAGCTGTTTCCAGCTGGGATTTTAAACTGGGTGTACATAGCCTAGCATTCCCATAGACCAAGGTGTCAAACATACGGCCCGCGGGCCGGATTCAGCCCGCAGAGGTGGTTCATCCGGCCCCGCCTTCTTTTTTAGAAATTTCTGCTTTAATAGACTGTCACCACAAGTTTCAGTGGAAAATTATGGGTGCGGCCTGCAGGCATCTGCATGGTAGGGAATGCGGCCCTCCGACCGATTTGAGTTTGACACCCCTGCCATAGACAATAAACATGCAGAGAAAAATGATATATATGAAAGCAAAACAAGCCAAGTTTTATATTGCACACACAGAAGTCACATGGCCTGGATTCATGGAGAAAAAAGGTGAGAAAATATGAAGGCAAGAATATTAGAATCAATAATAAAGAAATCTAATCATGCATGAGACTTCATTCAAGCAATTGAAGCCTTATTCCATTCATTCTTGTGTATATTAATCACACACTGATGGGACAGGTGGTCACTGAGTCACAGAGTCAGAAGAGCACTTTTACAACACCACAGAAGGTCTGTAAATAAAAGATGAGGTTGGGAAGCTCTCTTTGATTTTTCAAAATGGGGTGGAGATCCACCAATCTACCATATCATGTCTCAGTCACACATAACATCATCCAGTGCATAGCTAAGGAGGAAACATCTTTCAATGTCCACCAATCCTAGATTAGCTCCTTAACAGCTACTTATTTTCTCAACAAACTGTTTTCTTGCCTATGAGCTTTTGTCAACACTGAAACCACTGCTGCTGCTCCCTTCCTCCCTGCTACATCTAGTTACCCTATTTGAGAAAGATATGGAAAGGCTACAGGATCTTCACATATTTTGTATTCATAATGATTTCCCATACTGGAATTTCTGCATAAGAGCTTTTGGTGCAGATAGCACTCTGTGTTGGCTATATGAACTTTATTTGGATATACAGGTATTGATAGTTGGGTTAGACATGTTAGACAGAGACAGCAAGGGAAATGTGGCATTTACTGGGCTACATGAAAGATGAAACATTTGTTTCTGAAATAAAGATGATTCTCTACACATATCCATTCTGTATATCATTGACAATCATGCCAGAAAGGGACATGTCTGTATTGTACATATGTGTCATATTTTCCATAACATACAAATTTAAAAACATGATTAATATAAACCTAGCATATTAGAATCGCACATCCCTGTGCATGTGCTTGGTCTCTGCTTATGCAAAAATTCATTGCAGGGATCATACTAACATGCCCATGACATCACTACCATTTCTGTACATCTTTTGCCATGCCAAGGACTGCCACCATAATGCCCATATAAGTTTTCATGAGTGTATACTTTTATCCATCCATTAAAGTGCCACTTTCTCAATTTAGGAAACATTTGAATTTTGGACATTTCAATTGTCAAAGTACTCAGCTTTCCCTTTCTCTGTCTTCCCAGATTTGATAAAGAGCCATCTGAGTCATGACATCCTTCTCTTCTGCCTTTCTTGCCTTATTAAGGCCAGTGTCTTTTATTCTCATCTCAGAGATGCCTTGGCAAAAGAATGCCATGCTCCTTGGAATGGCACTGCTGATCTCAAGGTTGGCTGACTCCTATTTCTCTTCTTTTACAATTGCAATAAAAGGTTAGACTTGGCCTTGTGTTAAGCCAGTATGATTCTACAAGGGTGTGTTCTTTGTTCTTGCTTGAAGTCTCACAGCACACCAGATTGTAGTCCAGTGCATAAGCCTAGAGTGTTAAACACTGCAACTGAACCTCTTGATTGAAAGATAACTTTAACATATGCAGGTGCATTTTGGAGGAGAAAAGATTTTCATGCCAATAGTAGAGATGTGGTCAACAGAGGAGGATTAATAAGCATTAAACAGATATAAAATATGGATACATATTTGCAATTAAAAAGATATATATGTGCATTAAAAACTGAAGATTTTTTGCAAAAAACATGCACTAACAGACCCAGAGCTTATTTTTGGGGGATGGGAGCTTGCATTGTGTGGAGTAGTATAGGCAAAGAATCAGGCACGAGGCAAGAGTAGTTGATCTAATCTTGTAAAAACAGCTTAACATAAGAAATTTTCATTCCTTCTTAATTACTTAACCCTCTTGACACTTTGAGCCTAATATCTGTCATATAATAGGAATAGCTAATAATACATCCAAATTGCTGTGATTGAAAGTGTTAAAAATGGTACCAGTTCCTAAAAATTGGCACCTCACAACTACATTTAATACTCCCATCACAAAGGACAACAAAAATGAGAGAAAATATGCATATTTTTGCAGTCTCAAAATGGCACCAATTGCCTCATCCCTGACCAATTTGTCAGGGATGGAACTGCAAGAAAATTATGAGGTAGTATGAATCCATGCTTCCTTGTAATTGGAGACAGACCAGTTGGCTCTCTTTGCAGTGCACATTGTGAGTGGAGTTCCATCTGGAGCCCAGAGGTAGCAGTTGGAGTAATATGGACTCTTCTTTGTGCTGAAGATCTGCTTCTCACCCTTTTTGCTATCTTCCTCTTTTTTCCACTTCCCATCTCCTCTCCCTCTATTTTTCTTCTTTTCCTTCTCTCCCCTCAATTCTCCAGGGACTTTCTTGAACTTGACATCCTTGAATCCCAGGCACATGGTATGCAATGATCCATGCACCTAAATCCAAGATGAAAATACATCATTGCCATCTGCTTTTATAATTTTGGAAACACATACCACCTTTTGTTATTTTGTATGTTTTATGTCAGCACAGAATCAATTCTACATGACTTGTCAGCATGTGTTTATTAGATTTTAGATAATAATAAGAAATGCAGGGACATCATGAAGGTCTGTGAAAGATTTAACAAGGGCCTCTACAAGAAAAAGAATATTCTATTTATCCAGGGATTGTTAGCAATTACCCCTTTGCTAATGTACTTAGATAATACACTGGATATATCTCAGCTTTATAAGATGTAAGCAAACTTAAAATACCTAAACCTGCAAACCCACACAATAGTGGAGATTGGGGCAAACCCCATGTCAAGGATTAATTCTCACTGAGTCAACATTAGAAGCAGAGTTATTCCCTGGTTTCCCTCTATAACAGAAGATCCAATAATTCTACATGGAGCTGTACACATATGTATAGGTGTCAAATAAGGATATTTCTGCTCCATTTTCTTTCCTTTAAGTTAAGTGTATCAGAAAGCTATATAAAATCATTGAGACCAAAAGAGGAGATGGAATCTATTTACTTGTTGAAGATCCAAGGGTGAAAGAAGGAAGCATAGGCTTTGTTTCAGATCATCTGAGTAGAGTCTGAGGAAAACAGCAAGGGCAGCAAGAGCATCAAGAGCAGCATATTCCACCTGCTTGTTTGACAGCTCATCTGCATTCCAATCGCTGCACCTGAGCCGCCAGTTCTTGTTTAATTTCAGCTGGAGGAAATGGGAGGCCAAGGAATCGAGACCAAAGCGGCCATTCATCTGCTTGGCGATAGGATGCAGGACAGCAAGGTGACGCAAATCCACACACCCATTCACTGTTATTCCATGACCCTGAAGAAGCTTGTCTGAATCTTCCCTAATTGCTACTCCAACCTTCAGGATCCCACTGATAAACCAAGGAAAAGAATGGATCCACTCCTTATGCTCTTCTCTCATGAGAAAAACTAACGAAGGATCTTCCTTCCTCTGTGTTGTCTAAGCAGTAATGGGAAGTAATCACCAATTTGCACAAGTAGATGGAAGGATGTTCAAAAAAGTATCCAGAAGTATAAGGTATGAAATTTGACAAAGAGTCAGCAAGTATTTTGAGAAGGCAGATTTTATATTGAGAAGTTCCAGTTTTGCTTAACCTATTGAAGGCCAATGCTCCCATACCAGGAGCAAGTGTTAGAAGGGTTTCTAAGTCTGCAGCTATTGACAATACAAGTTTAACAATAAAGATATTAAGATTATTTAATAATCCTCATTGACTATCAATCACTTGAGATTCAGAAACCTTTTCAACACTTGCTCCTACTATTGGAGCATTAAATTTAGGTAATTGTCTGGAGCACATTAAACAATGGATCAAATTTGAGATGATCATGCCCAATTTTGGGCTTCCAAATTTTATTTCTAGGTTATTCTATTAGGAGCTTTAATTGCTAAGAAAGCTGAATTGGAAAACTGAAAGAATGTTCTATACAGAGGCACTATTGCAATTTTAGCAAACTCTTGGGGACCAGTGCTGTGGAGTGATAAAGATAACCGAATAATTTATTGGCCCACCCTGCACATCACAATTAATCAATATTCATCAGCCTCAAAGTTTCCACCAAGTCATCCAATCAAGTGGTGATTGCACCACAAACTAGGATTTAGTAGTAAAAATCTTGGCTAATAGGAAGCATAAGAAAATCGGAAATGTGAAATTTCAACAGTCTATGTTAAATGTTCTCTGTGATATGAACCTTACATATTGGAGAGGAAGGGCAAAATGAATCCTTGAACTAATATGCAATCTCCCAAACTACTCAAACTAGAAAACTAATTTACAGCTCATTGCAAAGTTTGAATTCAAGCAATTATTACTCATGCAACCAGTTTTTCTGCATCTTAAAGCAAAAAAGTTTCATTTTTTACTTCAGAATTAGTTTAATTTTGGCCGAAAAAAAATTAAGCGATGGGAAAGCCGGTATGAATACGAGGGGTGTTCGAAAAGTAATAGGAATTTATTAATTAAACAAGAACGATTAGACCTATGGTAACAAGAGTCAGCCCATACGTAGGCCAACATGTAAGCATTAGGACCTGTCAATGCCATTCAATACACTCAGTCCATTCTCGAGTTATAGGCCGTGCTGTCCCTTGCTATTTTTCTATTATGGAAGACGCGGTGAAAAATCAAAGGTCAATAATGTTCTTTTTGTGGAAGGAAGGAGTCAAAACTGTTGATATTGTCAAGCGCTTGCAGTGTGTTTTCGGAGATGCTGCTGACTCAAAAAGCACAGTTTATTTTTGGATTAACCGCTTCAAGAGTGGTCGGCAAAGCCTTGATGATGACCATCGGACTGGAAGGCCCTCCACTTCAGTTAATGAAGAAAATGTGGCAGCCGTGGAAGAGCTTGTGATGGAGGACAGGCGAGTGACCGTGCGAGAGATTGCCAGGGCCCTATGCATCAGTTTCGACTCTGTTCACTCGATTCTGCACAACCATTTGGGCATGAGCAAAGTTTCAGCGCGATGGGTACCTCGGCTGTTGGGGCCAGACCAGAAGCTCAACCGTACAGTGACATGTGGTCAGCTTGTGGACTTGGCGAAGAGGTACGGTGAGAACTTTTGGCTTCGGATTATTACTGTAGATGAGACCTGGGTGCCATACTTTAATCCGGAGACCAAATCCCAATCGATGGAGTGGCGGCGCCCTGATGAAGGCCCTCCAATAAAGGCTCGATCAAATCCGTCCGTTGGCAAGGTCATGATGACCGTTTTTTGGGATTGTCAAGGCATTATCCTCATAGACTATCTTCAGAGAGGTCAAACGATAAACGCCGAATACTATTCTGGTTTGCTGAAGGGCCCCTTGCGCACCCAACTGATCAAAAAACGCCCAGGAAAGCTCCACGCACGACCATTACTGCAGCAAGACAATGCCAGGCCCCATACTGCAAGACGAACTATTGATGCTATAGCCGATCTGCGATGGGAGTTGCTGCCTCACCCACCCTACTCTCCTGATTTGGCTCCAAGTGATTACCACCTATTCCCGGAACTGAAGAAACCACTTCGGGGCAAGCGTTTTTCTTCTCTACAAGAGGTCAAGGATGCGGTAGAACGTTGGACTAAAAGCACACCAAAGGAATTCTTTAATGATGGCCTTAGGAAGTTAGTCTCTGGTTGGAAAAAGTGTATTGCACTCCAGGGTGATTATATTGAAAAGTTAAGTGTAAATAATGATGGATAAATATGTTGATTGGGAAAAAATTCAAAATTCCTATTACTTTTCGAACACATCTTAGGGGTGTCTTTCGTACATCTTAGGGGTGTCTTTCGTACATCTTAGGGGTGTCTTTCATCAGGGCATTCAGATAAAAGTTGTCATTACCATACTTCTAAATTTTTCTATGTCCTTTCAAGCTCTCATGTTTCATCAAATTAGGCCAATTTTGACCTTTTGTAAGTTGCCCTGGAAGGATGTACTCCTTTACATGTTTTTTCAAAACATGTAAAAGAGTAAATTTCATTTTAAATACAGAAACAAGCCCAACTAGACCCAAGTTTGGCCAAAGCCCTTTTAGGTAAATTTCGATTAGTAAAGTACTGTATGTACCATACATTGGCCTTTTTGGCTTGATATTAAGAATTACTTTCAGATGAAGGCATTAACACGTTGGCGACATGCGTCCTGATGCCAGGATGCAGATTTTTTTTCGATGAATACCCTCTGGAACTGTTGAGAACGTTCCAGAAGATTATGATTTCGTAATTACTGATAAAAATTCCAAAAAATTCAACATTTTAAAAAAACTCGGCAAAAAAAAATGTTTTCTGGGACCATGCGTCCTGATGGCAGGACGCATTTTTTGACAAAAAAATGCNAAAAAAAAATGTTTTCTGGGACCATGCGTCCTGACGCATTTTTTGACAAAAAAAATGCGCGTGGTCCCACGCGGCGGACAAGCAAAAATAGGCTGGTCGTCAACGTGTTAATATATATGTTCATATGTTATTGAAAAGCTCCAGCTTTCAGTTCCACATCCTCAATTCACCGCTTGTCACGGCGCTTGTGGAACTAAGCGACCTTTCGCAACTCGCTTTTTTATGTTTGTTATTCATTTTCAACATTCTGTTAGCACATTCCCTTTCGAAAAACAAAGGGAAATGCTCAGTAGATAAACAAGAAACATCCATTAGCGAGTTTTAAACAATGTAAAGCTTCCAAATTTTTAAAGATGTCCCTTAAGACGTTTAGTCTGTAATCGCTCTTGGTAAATCGTCCATGAACCTATGCTGACCGCGCACTACAATGTCTGTGATTTTGGCAAAAAGCGAGGAAAATGCTAGAATGAAGATACATGACGCTGGGAATGGTCCCACTAAGCGTTAAGCTTGTTGAACCCCATCTTCCGCGCCCAAAATTTGTCGTAAACGCCGATTTCCCCTATGCGCAACGGCTGCACCCACTTTCTGTTTCGAAAAAAATTAAGTTGAGATGCAATGAAGCTTACTTAAAAGCCATTAACTTCGTGAAAGCAAGCAGTAAAAGTTATGATTCCTCTCAATATTTAAATATCGCTGATTACTGCATGTGCCTCCTGTATGCCAAAATCTCTCAAATAATTGAGGCTGACTTGTGAGCATAGGCACCGAATCAATGGGGGCAAAGTGGCACGTGCCCTCCCAACAATGTTATTGGGTGAATGACCCAAATGAACCCAGAAAATGGCCAAAGTACAACAAAAGTATGGCACATGAAACATGGGAAACAAAAAATGCTGTTTCATGAAAGATATGATTTTCCTGTTTGTTATCTCCGAGAGATCCCCGTCACCACGTAAGGGTATGGGGTGGAAGGTCGAGGGCTCTTATCACTCTCCACGCCCAGCAATCCCCCCCCCCCCCTTCCTTCCGCTCGTCAAGGAGCTATCATAATAAAACTGAGCTACCCCACTGGATCCTGGAACGACTCGGTCAATGTTATTTCAGGGGGATTAGGACCGTCCCCCCCCCCCCCCTCAATATTTTTTAGAAGTCGGCGCCTAAGCTTGTGAGGCATCACATTCAAATGGAGCGCAAAAGGTCGGAGGAATATGGGGTGAAAGGGGTGAACTTCATTCATCAAAAATGACAGCCTCTTTCATTGGTAAATCGATAGTTTTTTAATTGACAGGTCGATAACTCATTCCTACGTCATGGACAAAAAGGATGAAGGATTATAGCTTTAAGTAACGAAATAATTGCAGCTTCGCTGAAGTATAGTCCGTCACTGTTCTACTTCCCTGGGTTGAACGCAATGTTGAAAGTCAAAATGTCATCTGAGTGAATCTGAGTCAATGAGCACATATGTCGAATGCCACATAAATTTGAATGCACAATGGTCGAATAACATTGTCGATTATTATAATTGCGAACGCGTCAAAACGTGTAACTGTTGAGACGTGATTTAGCTCCAGTCTATCCTGTTTCTCGGGTTCCGATATAATCAAGGAGAATAGCTTTCTTCGTAACCCTTAGGGGCAACAAAGACTATCTTGTCAACCTATCATCTGTCTGCATCAGCCAGGGTTGGTGGTGTCGATTACATCAGTAACGAGCGCACAGCCACGCAAATCTGTCATTCGAATTGGGGCAGTAACCATGACCGACATACGTGCAGTCTCAGGAGGGTGGCAGAATGTTGGTCGTGCATGGATATGTGTTCGGTCGTGAATAGAGCACTGAGTGTATTGGAGGTGCCAGAACCGCAGTTGCCATGCACGAGTCGTAGTGTCCCTAAACGACGAATTTATAAAAAGAACCACCGAAAGCGCAAAATATTCTTGCATCTAACTGCGTCTGACATCGGGAAAATTCGTGACAGCGACGAAGCGACGATCAGATGTTTCATCTGAGGCGACCCCCAACAACACCAATTCAGAGGTGAGGCAATTTGCTTCTTCCTGATCGCGAAAAAAAAAAAACAGTTTGAGGAATCAATCAGGATGCGAATATGGGTGACTCAACCTTGAAATATTTAAAGACAAAGTGGCACATAGACCAAATGGCAGTTAGACCAGATGTTCTCCCTCCCTTTTGTCGTTAAACCTTTGTAACATTCTGCCATCCATACAGATGCCCGTGTCGCGATGGGCACAGTTGTCTGCCATAGGGGGGCGGCCGCCCTCCTGGATCCGCCCCTGGCGTTAGCTACGCCCATGTTGACGGCTTTTGTCATTCGTGCAGAAGGTGACGTACAAGCTGTATGTCCTCGGCTCGCATGCCCGCAAAAGCACCCATTGTAGCACCGTAGCACCCATTAGAGAATATTATGTCGATAACTGTAGAGCCAGAGATCAGCCACGATGTGGCCCCGTTTCCCTTCCCAGAGTGCGGAAACATTAATTTCTCGGAGTCCAGCAGAGAGGAGAACGTTTTCAAGCGCGATAGGTGGAGGGATTCATGTCAAGGTATCCCGCGCTGGAGTGCAAGAAAAATGAAATACGGGAAAATTGCGTCCACAAAATTGTCTCTTCGCACTCAGAAAAGCCACTTATTTCTGCCTTCCTTCTGACCAGGAACCAAGTGCAGTTCGACTTCTCCCACATTCGGCGTGACTCGTGTTTTGAAGACTTCGTACTCATATAGTTTTGGAGACTTCATCGACAGACTTCATTTCGATGTTTCTCTCATTTCACCTTTTACCTTTCGCCGTTTCATTCATTCGACGTTCAGGACAAAAAGCATACGTCTGTACTTCGAGCAGAGGCCAAGAAAAGTATTAATTCAGATGACAATGCATAGATCAAAGAATTATTCTGAGGAAAACCCGGACCATCTTCTCAACACGTTGTATACTGTATGTCCAATATCAGGAGTTTACGAATCTTATCGTTTTCTCTCGAATATATGAATCTTACTTTCTCCCATAGAAAACGCTGGGGCGTTTATTTTTAATCACCCTATGTACGAGCGCATAAAAGTGAGACAGCGTTTAGCTCACCTGTGTGTCTAATGACAGTCAACCTGTTAAACGTCATTATTGGCCCATTTGAAAGTTCTCAGTCACTCAAGGCCTCAACTGTGCATAGGGACTTAGGCATACCCATCAGACAGGAGCTCCAGGAGCGACTGAGGAAGGGGATCTGACGAAAACTTGGAGAGTCGGACAAGAAGGCAAAGTCCTCTGCATGAGGCCAGCTGAAGCAGGGATACTTTGGATTGAGTTTCTGATGTCCACTCACAGTCCAAACCTAATACTGGCAGCTCATCCTTTGCCCTACAAGTCAGGGAAACCCTCTTATCTTGGCTGCAGACCTCAACATAAAGACCAGCAAGAATGATCAAAGATTACAGATATTCTGCCCTCCAAAAGTCTTGCAACACTTTTTCGTGAGCGAAATCCTGTCTCTATGGCATCATCTGCGAAAATTTATATATCCTCAGACAGCTTAATCTGTTATCTTTGCAAAACACCCACACATGTCATGATTTGCGCCATCGTTTGTCCAAAATTTGCCTCAGAATCGGTCTGGTTCGGTTTTTCAGCCTGGAACAATGAAAATCCGTCCTCAACCGATTGCTGGAAAGCCTACTTCTCTTGCACGCCATATGAGAAGCACGTTTTCTCTATGCACCTTAAGGAAAAAGACTTCTGTCAGTGTCCTCCACAACACTTGCAGTTTTTTCATTTAAAAATCTCTGTACCTATGGCATCAAGAGAGAACATAAAAAGTTATTTGGATCATTACCATCAGGGTTTGAGCTACCACATCCCCAAAATTTTCATGAAAACAATCTAGTTCGGAATTACCCCCTGGAACAATGAGAGAAACATCACCCTCCATTTCTATTCCTGGCAAGCCCGAGGAGTAAGCATGGTGTATGTCACAACAGGGGAGAATTGTTTTCCTTCATTTCGAAGCTGCCTGGTCATTTCAGGCCATTTCTCCCCATCTTGGCATCAATTTCTCAGTTGAGTATGAGTATTGATCGATACCTGCAAACCGAGAGTATATATTGAGATTTTGTGTCAGAAACAAAACCGGCAAGGGTAGTGGAGGACACTGACAGAAGTCTTTTCCTTAAGGTACATAGAGAAAACGTGCTTCTCACAAGGCGCGCAAGAGAAGTAGGTTTTCCAACAATCGGTTGAGAACGGATTTTAATTGTTCCACGCTGAAAAACCGAACCAGACGGATTCCAAGTCAAATTTTGGATAAACGATGGCACAAGTCATGACATGCGTGGGCGATTTGCGAAGGTAACAGATCAAGCTGTCTGACGATATAACAATTTTCGCAGATTATGCCCTAAGTGCTGTGAATTTCGCTTGGAGGGCAGAATATAAAACATTTTCCTATAAGCAGAAGCCATAATTATTTTGCAAGGATAAGAATGGATGAGTAAGGAAAATCTAAATCCTTAAAAAAAAAATATTTCACGCTTTAAGTTGATCTGCCTGTCAATCTGGACACCTAATTTATAGGTGTCAAATACGAAGTAAACGCAAAAATATTATTTGAGCATGTGTGAAATAATCACCAGAACAATGCATTACAAGTATTATACTACTTTTACTGCTGAAGCAATTACACCTAGAAAAAAAAATCTAACTTGCTCAGTTATTTGCCTTCTTTCAAGATTTGGAGGATATGGATATTTCACAAACATGAGAAGATGGAAGGAGCTGACTTCAGGTCTCTCCCATTTGCTACGGATACATTGAGTTTTCAACAAAAAAAACTGGGTTCGGTGACCTAATGGTTTAGGCTTTCAAGTATAACCAGGAGAGTATCTGCTTTAGCATTGGGGTAAAACACATGCTGCTCAGTATGTAGGAGATACTGGTCCAGTGCACATTAATTACTTATTCCAGTCATGTGCTGAGGCAACCCACTAGTTGCTCCTAATGCTCCCTAAATGACTGTGAAGGGAATCCCTGGCTGATAGACCATAATCTCGGTTGTGGTGCCTGTGCCAGCAGGCATTTTCTTTCTCTCTGTCCATTGTAGTACATCCTTTGTTGTATATGTCTGCTGTAAATATGGTCTTGTTAAAAAAAAAAAACTTCAATGGAACGAGGGGATGAGAAGTGATTTACAAGATGAAGAAAGAAATGAAAAAGGACAAGACTGGACAGCCATGGGCATGCATAGCAGACACTAGGCTTACCTCTGTAAGTCCTCGATGTGACGATTCCATTGTTCATCATTATCAATGACAAACACTTGCTTCTTCCTCAGAAGTCTCCAAGGATCAATATGATGAAGCCAAAATTTTTTGCGAATGATATGAACCAGGGAGAAAGTGAGATTGGCAACAGCAAACCCTCCAACACCATAAACCAATCTTCTGCTATACTGACCTTGCTTGAGCCCAGTCACATAGACTAATCCAATAAGACCTGCGATTCCTGCTACTAATGTGGTCCACATCTACGCACCAACAAATAATGTCTGACAATGCATCACATAAGCATTTGGAAACATTTTCCCTTGGGATTGTTGTAGGAAGCAACAATACTCTCATAACAAGTTGGCCTCTGGTCCTCTCACACTTACATGGCTGGTCCATGATTCTCTGAAATGTTAGTGTCTCTCAAAAGTGTGGCATAGAACTGTCTGACAATGACCCCTTGATTGGCTTTCAGAAACAATTATACACCATTTTAGTTTGCAGAAGACCCAACTGTGGCTTCTGGGGAAAAAGAAAGGCATCTTCCTCTGTCTGCTTGCTGAGGTCACTTCTCAACCAAATCTCTAGTCTTCAAAAGTCCATGCCAGAACCTTCCACATACATTCATCATGTTATTCTTGGTCAGCAAAAGTCATGCAAAACAGGAACAATGACTTTTAACTATTTTAAAATTTAAATGTTAAGTCTACTTGTACTTTGTGGGTAAAGTATTTGAAGCACAGCCAAGTAGGATAGCTGATATAGAAAAACTTGCTTATGGTTTTTGCAGCTTTACACAGAGGCATGTGACAAATTCAAAACAAAAAATCCAGTCTGGTAACTTATACCACATTCTGGCTAAGATCTGCAGCAAGCAAATTGGGGTATGTCGATGGGATTTTGGACATCCTAATGGTGCTTAGTGTAAGTGGCCATAATCAGCCTGACTTGATTATATTTAAGTGTGGTGCTACTTCTATGGAGCCCCGCAGGTATTTGCACAGTGAATCCTAAACACTTGAAAAGGTGCTCTTGTAATTTAACATGAGCCTCTATCATTCATGCTACATGATAATGTACCACATGGGTGACTGTGAATGATTTCTCTCCACACATGGCATTATTACCTCATAGTAGCAAGACGGAAAGTATCGTAACACATTTGCAATGAAGCACTGAGCAAATTTAATATTCAGCTTGTATTTTTGTTACCCTCAGTTATGAATGCATTACTGATTCAAAAGAGTTGTCTTGAGCTATCTATATTGAAATAATGGGCTCTCCATCCACTTTATTAACCAATAATGAATATTGCAATCAGTAGAAGTATCCACAGGCATATATGATCGTTTTAACCCTTTCATGGTCATGGTTCAACTAAAAAGTGCATTGAAAAATCTGTGCCAAATCATTTTCGCTAATGACCGCATGTGAAAATTCCATGTATGACAGGGTGTATGATTCTGTATGGTTATGTATGATCATATATTTGCCATATACCACCATATATGTATTCATATATTAACAATTGTATGGTGCATAATATATTTTACCTGCATTGCAATATTATGTATGATGGGCAAATGGCATCATGCCTGAT